TTTTTTTTTTTTCGCTTCTGCGCTCTGATTCACAATGTGACAATATATATATATATATATATATATATATATATATTCTATTTGACGATATATATATATATATATAAATAACCTGGCTGTCCTTATTCCTACTATGCTCGAATTCTACTCAAGATGTTTCGCAGTGAAGCACCACCCTGATGCAGACGGACCAATCGGGAAAAAAAAAGAGATGAAAATCTTGTTTTAAGGGGGGAGGCTCAGACCCAACCACTTCTGCCCCCTGGCCATTTCACTTCACCCAATCCCCCCCCCGCTCCACCCCCTGTCACACCTATCTTCTGCTGGAAAACTGGTCCTGCGTCCCAAATACGAAGTATCGCAGTCCATGTCCATATGATCCGCCAGATACTACTTTATACCCTAGCAACAAATCTTGAGTTCCTGCTCAACTGCACCCCCCCCCAACCCCGCCGCAACCCCACCCCTACCCCCACACCCACCTTACCAATGTAGATCTATGAATGAAAGCTCAAATGGAGGAAAGGGATCCCGACCATGAATGTTTTTGTGTTGCCGGAAGATGGTAGTACAGACCTGGTCCTACAACCGTTGGACCTGTAAAAGCAAATAGCTACTGTCTTCCCCCGAACACACCCTTATTTTGGCTGTATCTGGTCGGAAATATAGCTTGTATACATTCATTTTTAGGGTGCGTTATGTTCGGGGGAAGAGTGTAGCAATACCTGATTGTGTGTTGTCAATGATCCCCCACCAACAACTTCTATTCCGTACCAATTTACTACCAAACAATTTCAAACCGACATAAATAGCAAACTCTGCAGAACGCATCCACCATAGAAGTGCAAGGTCCTCAGGGTTTGTGTGGTAGAGCAGAGAGTAGGGTCGGTGTGGTAGAGTAGAGAGTAGGGTCTGTGTGGTAGAGCAGAGAGTAGGGTCTGTGCGGTCGAGCAGGGTGTGCCCATATTGCCGTCTGGTTATCCTTAGGTTATGGGTATATAGCAGGATTTGAACCTGCATCCATTGCGTGGACGTAGATGATACATTAACAATGGACCATCACTGACCCCTCTTTCGTACCTACACGGTAAATACTGTATTAGCATGCACCCCTGTATCGAGGGACAGTTTGTCGAGAAGTGATGGTGCACTGGCGCAAGCCTTTAACAAATACGTGATAGACAAATAGATAGATCCTCCGTTTGTCAAATCAAAGAGACAAACATACCAGTCGTCCCAAATATTCGGACAGGGCGTTTTTTGGACCTCACTTTTTGTTTTGGTTGCCAATGTAGGTCGGTTCGGGCTTTGCCTGGGGTATATTGGACCTTATCGTTTGGTTGTCTGTGGCAGGCGCTGGTTTTATCCGGTTGAGCTGTTCTGATTTGTGCTAATTTTTGAATTGTAGCAGAACCCGAGGGGTTTGATTAGCTTAGGCCCAGACACGGAGTTATCCGCGACCTAAGTAGCCGCTTCTGTTTTTTGTTTTTTGTTTGGTCTGCGTCCAAGTAGATAAAGCTGGGTATCGAACCCCTCAGTCGATACCGAAGCCTGTGATGTTTTGCACTTGACAGAGTCGGCTTGTTTGGTTTTTTTTAGTAGGATACTTCGGTGAGACAATAAAGGAAGGACTGGATACGGCAGTCAACCTCTTGCTATATTGGAATTCTTTGGTGACTATCATGTTGATGACTGTTTCTTTTGAGCATCCGTCTCTTTTGAGCATTCGTTAACTTTGTCTGTTCTGGCTTTCATCATCTGCTATGGCGCACATTAACTATCTTGGGGAGAAATTACTGAGATCAGTGAGCGTGTTTCTGACGATCCTTACATACACTTAGTACGCTACGTCTATTCGTACTTTCAGACTACTATTGTTAAACCACCAGTACCTCTGAGCCTGTTTTTGCCGACCCTGATTTTCACTGCGCTCCGAGTTTTGCCGAGCGTGGGTCCCACTCCATTTCTTTATGGTACTCTCACGGGAAGAACAAAAAAAAAAAAAAAAGAAGAAAAGTTGCGGCCATGAAAACTCACATAACAAAGCTCTGGGTGTGATTGCAGCTGTATACGTTCTCGAAAGTGTTAGTGTGAGTGTGCCCTCAGTGAGGGCATCGCAGCCCCGTGGCCAGGTTGTCAGATTCCAGAAACTCAAAAAAAAAAAAAGGACAGGAACACGGATTCGGCCGTGAAAATGGCAAGATACATTCCCGTAAGTGTCAGTGTGATCAGGGTTACAATCCTCTGAGGGAACACAGCTCGAGAAGATCACAGATTCAGATTGTCAGATTCCAGAAAAAGAAAACAAGAAGAAAAAAAAACGGAAACATGGATTTGGCCATGAAAACGATTGGATACATCAGGGTTACAATCATATGAGGAAACACAGCTAGAGCAGATCACGGATTCCGCCCTGCCTCGTTGGTAGGGGACACATATCAAACAAAAGAGAAATAAACAAAAGAAAACAACAAGTTTCAGAATGTGACCGTCTTTGTTGTAAGATGCATTCAAGACTGTGAGCACGGCCTCCTAAACTACCCTGCCCGACATCATTGCAGTACAACGGTCTTTTTTTGCAGACAAGAGTGCTTTGTCCTGGGTGGGCTTGTCCCGTCGTTTGGCCTGTGTAGGACTGGGGCGGTGCTTGCATGTGGGACTTGTCATCTAGGATCCGTTTTTTGTGCTGTTGTTTATTGCCCCCTGTTTTGTTGTATTTGGCTGTTTCCTTCCTCTCTTCTTTGCCTCTTTGCCCTTTGGCTGTGTGTAAGTGGGTTGATATGACACACGGGGGTGGGGGCAGCCGCCGCTCAACCTACATCCACGTGGGCGGCCTTGTACGCAAGAGGTTCTGAACAGGGGGAGTTGTAAGGAACAAGATAAAAAAACGACCTTTTTTTTTTCGATTTTGCGCTCCGATATTCATGTGACGATCACAGCCCCTCGTTTGTTGTCCTCTTCTCTCTCTTTGCCTACGGTTTTACCGGGCAGTTCTGTTTGTGACGATATATATATATATTTGTGATGATATATATAGATAAACAGTTTGTCACAGCCCCTCATTTGTTGTCCTCTTCTCTCTCTCTGCCTACGTTTTACCGGGCAGTTCTGTTTGTGACGATATATATATGAAACGGTATTCACCTGTTAGCAATAGCGGATGCAGGTCCCAGGGCTCGATCCCTAGTCCTCACTTTACCCTACGATTTTTGGGACATTGCTGACCCTGTGTCCACCCCCGAAAACGTCGGGTACTGGCCAGGACAACGTAATTTCCCAACACTGGCGGAGGTACTGGTGGTTTAACTACCTACCATCTGATTACTCTTATCAAGTTGGGAAGCACCGCGACTTGGTGGTCCTTTTTTTCGGATTGGTGACGTGGTGGGCTTTTGCCACTCTTTGCCGATGGGTGACCGATGTGAGTACGATCGTGGACGAAGATCGAGCAACGAAGAACGTGGTAGCCGCCACCGAGATGAACGGCGTGATGATAGGGGAGGTGACCGACACTACCACCGATCACCACCACACTGTTTCAGCTGTCATGAGCGCGAACACTATGCTAAGTAGCGTCCTAAACGTTGGCACGCTCCCAAAGCGAGAGCGTCCTCCTCGTATGATGTAAACAGGGGGCGTTCGACATCCCCGAGGAGGGGTGGAGGTGATTCGAGTACCAAGTCGACCAGGGAGGAAACAGAGGAGATAAGAGGCCAGATCGAGGAACTGAACAAGAACCTTGCATCAGTCTCGGAGTTTGTCCTTGCGGAGAAAGGTAGGAAGGCCGAAGAGGAACGCCTGCGTATTGAAGCAGAAGCCGAAGCCGAACGACTGGAAGCTGAGCGAAAAGCGTGTGAGAGGAAGGAGCAGACGCGACTGGAGAAACGACAACGGGATGAACAACGAGATGCAGAAATTGACAAGAAGTTGGAGATTCAACTGGCGATCAAGACGGGTGATTTCTTCGATCGTATGGAGGCCAATTTGGTGCCAGTATTGGATTTTGTGCACAAAGCGAAGCCGGCGAAGAAACAAGTTCACGCACCTGATGATTCCGAGGATCGGAGTGGTGACAATGCGACTAAGGAAATTCGTACCCGTACACGTGGCCTGACTATAAACGAGAAGAGAAAGAGGGGACCAGAGGTGGTTGTTGATGATAGCCCACCAATAACTACCCCTGCCAAGCGCAGTTTGCGTCGGACGGACGCAAAGAAGAAGACGTCCACCCCGGGCCGGGTCACGCGATCGAAGGCGAAGATGAAAACTAAGCTATCCCCATATGCTGAGAAGTTCAAGAAGACCCCGGGTAGGCCAAGTACACTCGAGAAACCGCGGTATCGGAATCAGCAGATGGAGGAACCACGATCACTTGATGTCCTCGGAGTACAGGGTATCTGCAAGGATGAGCAAGTGGTCTACAACGGTGAGATCGATGCAATGCGCTTTGGTGATGTCGAACCCATTGGTCTGCCGACCACGATTGACCAACTTGGTGACGAGTCAACGACTTTGGAAACTGAAGATGCTGAGCAAGATGTTTGATGGATCTAGGGGTCAAACGAGATATGGCAGATAGTTGATTGGCTGACTAAGTACCGAAGTACTTTGAAGACCACGGACCGGTGTGCAAAGGAATTGCTTCGACTGTGTGTTCTTGTGTTGAGATTTCAGAAGGAGATTAGGTGGAATGGTAAGTTAGTCGACGCATGGCGTAACCTATTGGACACGTATGGTACTGATTTTCTATAGTCGAGTAACGTCGTGTATATTGCTGTCTCTCCTTATTGTAAGCATCAGTACGTAGGAAAAACAACAGGTAATGTAGATATCCGTTGGCGAGAGCACTTGGTCCGATGTTGTGGTAATAAACACGCTCATTTTCACCGTTGGCTCTCTATCATACGTGTCCGAATGATCTCATTGCTATAGAGGATATATACATTAAGCAGTGGTCGCCTTTTCTGAACAGTGCGGGTTGCTCGAAAGGTAGTAAGGGCTCGAAAAAGTGTCGGGGGAAGAAGGAACGTAGGGCTGTGAATGGGAATGGACGAGGAATACGACCCTTGTCCTTTCGAATTGACGGTAGTGAAGCTACCTCATTGAACCTAACGGAAGCGCTGACCGCACTGACGGGGAATGGTCAACGAAAGTTGACAATCGAGACGAAGGGGGGGAGCACTTTTGTTGGTGGTTGGAAGAAACTATGAAAGACATTTGGGGATTCTACAATGAGGAAGGGTGACATAACATATTTGCTCAAGTCCTGCAAGAAACTTTTTGAGGATGGAGGCTCATTTGAGATCATCTATGTACGTATGTGGAAACCGAAGGCCAGGTTTTTGAAGGCTACTTTGGTTGGGATTCTTAAGAACCCAAAGAAGATTTTCGGATTTTTACGCCTGGGGATTTAAGCCGTTAATGAAAATATATAACGTGATTAAGGATTTCAGTAAGAAGTCTACGAGGAAATACCTCAAGCGGTTACTATCTCGAGTGATCCACGACAAGTTTGAGTTCAGTATGTCAGCTGATCTTGTAATTCGCATTAGGTTTGATGATCGTATTAGATTAATCGAGCTGAGGAAGATAGTGAATTACGACATTATGAGGTGCGATTTACCTGAGTGTTTTCGGAAGTGGGCTTTGAAGAAAGTGCGGATTGTTTGGGTTAAAAATCCTTCGATCGGCCAATCTCTTCATAACCATCGAGCATTTGCCGTTCGTGTGTTCGTTACCTGCCCATGTGCAGGGTCATCCCACCCCAAAGAAGGTGGCCATGTCTGCTTCCGACTGTGTGACGGTAACTATCGACACCAAAAGTTGTCTAATGCTAACAATATTCCTCGCCCGGATGTCCCGAATCGGCTAGGACTTTTGCAACAGGAAGTTGCCGATGGTTTCAAGAATTGGTACAATCTCAAGGGTCCCGTACCTGATTTGAATGGTGTTGATTTTCGTATCTGTTTCGGAACCATGGATAGAGTCTCGGACTGTATTTCTCATGATGATGTTAGCACTGTTAAGAAGGAGTGTGAAGGTTTTGTACTTACCCCACTGGACCGAAAACCGGCGAAACCCTGGTAATGTGCCCGTTTGTGTATCATAGGGCCATGATGGATACGTTTGTTTTAAGTCCAGGCTACTGGGTTGTTCAGAAGAGCGAAGGTGAAGTGCTTGGAATCCCTATGGGCAAGAGTACGAGCCCACCGTTGGCTTGTATCATGTGCACCGATGCTGAGTGTCGATTTTTGAACAGCCTCGGTAAGATCCGGAAGAACATCTTCGGGATCAGACTTATCGATGATGTCACTCTTGTGACTGTTTCACTGACGGAGCGACAACACGACGAAGTTCTGTCTTGTTTCCAGAATTGCTACCCACGAAACCTGACTTTGAAGAGAACCGATACAGGATCTGGAACGTTGTCTTTCCTTGGATGCGAGATCCGTACTAGAAGTGAACCACCACACCTTGGTTGTGTACAGCTCGTTAAAAACGAGGAGACTGTTTGGTCGGACGAGAAACTGATGTTTAAAAATGGACAGTCTTTTGCATCATGGAGCAGTAAGCAGCAGAAAGCTGCAACAATTGGCAGTTATCTCCACCGCATCGAACAGAACACCACCATCCGATCCGAAATCCCGCTGAGAGTCCTAACTGTCAAACGGGAGTGGAGGATCAAAGGATTCCCTGCGGTGATGTTTGAAAAAGTGCTGAAGGCTATCGCAGTGGGTAAAGATCCTATTTGGAAATGGACTGTGCAGTTGCTGTTTTCATAACTTTGTCACCATCGACGACTTTTTCGATAGAGCTAGAAGCGTGACGAGTGTTTGTGAATGACCCACAGTAGCCCCTGAGATTCTCATATTGGTGTGAATTAACCTGGTTTTAGGATTACTTTTGCCGGTGTAACTAGATAGAATGGAGATTACGGAGTTTTGGACAGGATGAGTCTGATATGGTTGTACTGTGTTTGCTTTGCTTATAGAACGAAGAGCTGTTTTGTTCTTAGGTTTAGTTTTTAGTCGAGGAATTGTCTGGGCATGTTCACAGGGTATTCGGACAGGGTGTTTTTTGAACTCGCTGTTTGGTTTGTTGCTAATGTAGGTTGGTCCGGTCACAGAATATCCGGACAGGGCAGATCATATTATAGATATCCAATATATGATAATTATCATTATAATAATAATTATCATATTGTTTTTTGGACCTCACTTTTTGTTTTGGTTGCCGATGTAGGTCGGTCCGGGCTTTGCCTGGGGTATTTTGGACCTTACTGTTTGGTTGTGTCTGTGGCAGGCGCTGGTTTTATCCGGTTGAGCTACCCTGATTTGTGCTAATTTTTGAATTGTAGCAGAACCCGAGGGGTTTGATTAGCTTAGGCCCAGTCACGTACTTATCCGCGACCTGAGTAGCCGGGTCTAATTTCTGTCTTTTGTTTGGTCTGCGTCCAAGTAGATAGAGCTGGGTATCGGACCCCTCAGTCGATACCGAAGCCTGTGATGTTTTGCACTTGACGGAGTCGGCTTGTTTGGGTTTTTTTAGTAGGATACTTCGGTGAGACAATAAAGGAAGGACTGAATACGGTAGTCAACCTCTTGCTATATTGAAATTCTTTGGTGACTACCATGTTGACGACTGTCTCTTTTGAGCATCTGTCTCTTTTGAGCATTCGTTAACTCTGTCTGTTCTGGCTTTCATCATCATCCACCCAGCCAGACCATAAGGGAGGGGGTAAGCAAAACACAGGCCTGCATCCCCATAAAAGCGTACCTCATCCCATAAAGCACCCTGCCCACCCAAACCATGTGCTGTAAAAGTTTCCCAGCCCATGGGGATTTCACCCTCAGCAGACACTTTTCCGAACCCGTCCACAGGTGCAGCATGACAACGTGTGTGTGTGTGTGTGTGTGTGTGTGTGTGTGTGTGTGTGTGTGTGTGTGTGAGAGAGAGAGAGAGAGAGAGAGAGAGAGAGAGAGAGAG